AAAAAAAGAAGTAACGTAGGGGGAAAAGCCGGATGTTTTTCCAAGGATATAATTTTTTTTAAAAAATAAAAAGAAGGGCTATTTAAAAAAAAAAAGTTTCAAAAGAGGAAATAAAAAAAAAAGGGACAAAAGGGGTGGGGGAATAATTTAGGGGGGGGGGGGGGGGGGGGGAGGCTGAGAAATGAGCTTCGTAGGGGAAATTAGAGCCTGATTCTCAGACTTCCGAGGTCGTTAGCGGTCCCTTTCGCTTCCCGACCGCGAACGACCTCGGACGTCTGAGAATCAGGCTAGGGAAATTATTATTTAGTTCCCCCCATCCGTTTACAAAAGCAGAATTAGTATACCCCCCTCTTGATCTCTTGATAATTTTTACTACCCCCCTCCCCCACACCAACTATAATGGAACTGTAGAAGTTGAAAAGCTTGAAAACCGTCTTCTCTATTTGTTGTCGAGTCCGACAACCCCGCTTGTGTTGGAAGGTTTTTCCGAGAGGAGTACAAGCCAAAGCCTCATGATAACAGCAACATAAGGCCATGTAAAAGGGAGGTGAATCGCATCTCGGATAAGCTTCATCATCACAGAAAACATAACTAAACATGATGACACTGGCCTAAATTGCCCTCACAATTTCAGCAATGAGAATTGATGACATTATGTCAAGTCTGGCATTGAAAAGGATGTGTTACATGTTGTTGTAGGACTTGGACAGGGTGATCGCTAAATATAACACATCTGAAGCAAGAAAAAAGAAAGAGCAGAGAAAAAAAAGGGGAAAAGGCTGAAACTCGCAACTTGTTAAAACAGAAGAAAAAGAGCATGCCTTATTTTCCGTTCCCTGGGAGGAGTCCCCCTTACAGAGGACTTTGAGCCGGACATATTTGGTTTTCCCCAACTGGAAACAGTTGATTGTGAAATCCTACATTTGTTTACCGCAAAGACAGAAAAGGCGGCATGCTTGCGCGATCTTTGCTAGGCAAACTGCTTCGGCAGGGAAGCCCAGCTGATTGTCTGCGACTTCTTCACCTGAGGGTGAATGAACTTACAACTGTCTTATAGGACAGTATCTAAGTACAAATGGTTTGTTTGGGACAAGTTATGTTTTTAGTTGAATCTGTCCTTGTAATGGATACCTGAATTATAGAAATTTTATGCCACAAATCAATTCAAATTGTCATCGCACTTTGTAATACCTGTCGCAATTTGTAATAAATTTATCGCACTTTGTAATACCTGTCGCAATTTGCAATAAACTGTGTCGCACTTTGTAATAAAAAAGCTGTCGCAATTTGTAATAATTGTCCATCGCACTTTGAAATATACTAAGCTGTCGCAATTTGTAATAATTCCATCGCACTTTGTAATAATGTTTTGAGAGTGATTCAACTTACCTCGCCAACATCAATATAATGCAAAAATATGAATGGTACTTCGTAAACTGCATTCCATGAATGCAGTGCCTTACAGTTCTTTGAGTAATCGTTTAAATTGCCCAAGGGACTCTGCTTCCCTTAAGTTACAAGGAAGACTGTTCCAGAGAATGGCGCCACTATAGCTGAAGCTGTTTTTGTAATAGTTTGTGCGCGGTAATGGAACATTGATTTTCAGAGTCTATTAGGTTATATGCGACTTCTCGCCTTTCAAATTTAGAATTAAGATAGTTTGGAGCCAACCCGTGCAGTGACCTGTAAACCATCGTAGCTCTTTGTTCCTGGCAAGCTAGGTTTTTCCACCCTAGAAGTTTGAAAAGGTGACCAGCATCTACGTCATAGCTTGAGTAGGTCAAAACACGGGCTGCTCTGTTTTGTAGCTTTTGAACCTTATTCTGTAAAGTTATCCCACAGTTTCCCCAAACAATGTTGCAATAATCAAAGTGTGGCTGTATTAAAGCTTGATATATTAGTTGTAAGGTCGCCTGAGGGACAAAGTGCCTTATTCGTTTTATGGCCCCAATACCAGAAGCGACTTTCTTTGTTACTTTCTCGATATGGCCACTCCAATCAAGTCTGTCATCGATGGTCACTCCAAGTGATTTTGCAGTAGTGACCTGGCTAACTTGAAAATCATTAATTGCAAATGTCGGGGACTCTGTGAGAGTACTTAGCCTCTGCCTAGATCCGATAAGCATAAATTCGGTTTTAGTCATATTTAGAGTAAGTTTGTTTGCTCTCAGCCAATTGTGAACATTTTCTAGATCTTGATTTAGATGCAACTGAATATTGTCTGCATTATCACCTGCGTATGTAAGGTGGGTGTCATCAGCGTACATCCTCGGCTCACAGTTTGAAAGACAGTTTAGAAGATCGTTGATGTATAACAGAAATAGTACTGGACCTAAAATCGTCCCCTGGGGAACACCACAACTTAATAAACAGGTTTGAGAGAGTTTTCCGTTGATAGAGCACATTTGAGTACGATTCTCTAAATATGACTTAAACCATTGGTGCGCGTTACCATATATGCCGTAATTGCTTAATTTTGATAAAAGGATCTCATGGTCAACTGTGTCGAAGGCCTTTTTGAGATCTAAGAAAACAACGGCGTTGATTTTACCGCGGTCAATATTGTACGCCCAAGTGTCCGTGGCCTCAAGGAGAGCCGTGACAGTTGAGTGAATAGTACGAAAGCCTGATTGATATTTACAGATTATATTGTGCTCTTCTAAGTAGGCATATAATTGATCATAGACGATTCTTTCAAAGACCTTGGCCATAACTGAGATCACCGAAATTGGACGATAATTATTGAAGTCGTCCAGATCGCCTTGTTTAAAAAGTGGGGTGACCTTTGCGCATTTCCAGTCATCTGGAAATATGCCTTGACTTATTGACTGGTTAAAAATATTCACGGTCCTAAGCATTTTTTAAAATTAATGTTGATTAGTTATCTGACGTATGAAATTCTGTATTCTTAAACCTTGCTATTGTATTAGATGGTTTGCATGCAATGGTTACCTGTGGGACGTACTCGATCCCTTATCCCTTATGTGGCCAATACGGGGATGTGCCGCTGGACAGAGCGTTGTCAGAGTACAGAATCTAGACACACTAGACACCAACGAGCCATTATTAAAAGGCATTTAATTTCCACAAATCGTGACATCCATCCTTACATCATTCAAATAAAGACACCAGGAAAGCTTTCCTTTTTATGTCTGATAACAGGTCGACACAACACCGTCCTTGTCTAACGCTCAATCTTAAAAGAAGTAATAGTGTCTTCTATATTTTGGCCAACTTAATCAGACGAGGCCTGTACAAATTCAAAAGGTAATTTACTGCAAATAAACGAAAAGGTCACCAGTGGCGAACCGTCGAACCACAACAGAAAATATAAAGACACATTCCACTTATTCGCTGGCCGATACCTTTGTATGTACATGTTTTTATAAAACTCACTTGGGATCATACGCGGAGCCGGCTGGCCATTTGGTCCATTATTCTCTATTGATTTGGTCCCATAGAGGAGCAAAAAGAGTATCATTCCATCTTAAAACAATTTTTTTCTATGGAGCCTTCTTAAGCAAATACCGTTGGGATAGTAAAAATTCTCCTTCCCTGTGAACAACTCGTAAGACCTTGCAGTTCTTCCGAGCGTGTTCAGGTCTTTTTCCACAAAATGCAAAGGATAATAAACCAAACCATCCATTATTACTTGAGTTACCCTATCTAAGGATCAAACCAGAGACACAAAGCCAACAAGGTAAAAATGATACCCTATTTAGGGTTCGAGATCCTCAGCGGTACTTACCAACCTAGCCCATACATGTATATGGGATTATTCCCCCCCCCCCACCCCGAAGACTTCAAGTGTCACGTGGCATGCAAACATAGATTGGGACGACGAATTCCAGGTTATTCATGAATTTTCTTTTGTTAAATGTTGCTTTTGTTATTTAAATATTTTTATGGTGACATGTCACAGGAAGTTT